TCCCTACACTGTCTCCTTCCCTCATGCTTTCCTCCATCATTCCCCCTTTCTCTTAGATGCCATTCCTGGTCCTGCTTTGCTTCCTAAAATAAATAAGCAACGACATGCTCACTCTTTAAGCATCATTGGGTTTCAGGAGCAACACTCCAATAAGACACAAGGGAGAGAGCGGCAAGTTCATAAATCTCACATAAAGGCAGTCTGTGGGCTTGAGCAGCATAAGCAGATCACATAACTAACATCCACTTCACGACCAGGAGGTTTGGCTTATAGCCACAGGGAAGGCAATTGGCTTTTCCCTCTTCCAGGCTGGGAATAAACTTGGGTGACAGGTTGTCCGAGATGCTGCCTTAAAAATGCCCTTCTTTGGGTGTTGCATTTACATGTACATCTTTAAAGGGTGATGACTTTCATGTCAGCACAGTTGTCACTTTCATTTCTTTAGATGATCTCAGGAACTAACAGGAAAAAAATTAGGCAACAGCATCTTGAAGTTGAAAAAAGTGAAATCAATTTACAGGATTGGTTCAACAGAAGCAGCATGGAAAAAGCACAATTAATTAGACCTTCAGAAAACCCAGCCTTCAGGAAAACAGCCAGCAGAAACAAGAGTTAATGGAATTTCTCTACTTTATCTGCAGTGCTCCTGCATGGGCTGGATCTCACCTGCCCAAAATCCTGGGGATGTTTCTCCCCATGGGCAAAACCAGCCCAAACTCCAGTGCCACAGCCCCTTTCTAATGGATAATTGCTGGGCTAATGGGTGCAGGCAGGCTCCTGGTGCCTCTCGTGTCTCTCACTGGGAGACATTTGGCTAAAGCCATCTGCATGATCTGCTGCAGAAGGTGCTAAAAATAACCCAGCAACGCTCAAAGAACAAGTCCTTTTGATGCAAATACCCAACTGCAGGAAAGGAAAAAGTGCTTCCCTTGGTTAGATGTAATTGCCAGTCAGGCCAAATGCCAAAGGGGCTCAGCACACCAGGAGCACAGCGTGCACGTGAAGGTGTCCCAAGGCCTTTAATAAATAACAGATACTGAGAAGCAGGGGTTTACTTACACTTGCATGGAGTTTTCCTTTTTTTGACATCGCTAAAAATTTGTTGCTGAAAACTCCTCGTATTCCTACAATCCCCTGAGACACAGCAAATATTTCCAAAATACCTAGGATGACAGAAATCCCAAAATAAATCACAGTTCTTTTCACATCAGTGTGACAAAGAGAAAAAAAAAAAAGAAAGTAGAAGTCAAAAATCAGGCTCATAGGTTTGCATTTCTTCTCCACAGGACCCTGCTCCTCACTGTCTGGCTCCACACAGTGCTCCTGCTCCATCCTTCTGCCCTGTAGACCTGCATCCACTGCAGAATGGCTACAGGGTGGTGGTTTGGTGATGCTTTGTTTTAAAAAGCTGCCTTTTAGAGGCCTAATTATGACTCTTCTGTGACAGAGGAAGTTCACTCCTGGGGAAGTCTCTCTCAAGGGTGGGAAGAGCCCCTTGCTGCTGAGATCAGCCTTGCCCATCCTCCTCCCATGCATGCCAGGCTCTGGAAATCACAGTGCTATATGCCCTATTTGGGGCTAGAAGTACCAATAGTGGTTTCATAGGCCCCTCCTCACAGCATGACTTGGGGAGTAGGGTGCCACACAGCCCAGTCACAAGAAAGCAAGCTGTATTCCCCTCAACGGAGTATTTTCCGAGCAGGATTGGGCTCTGGCCTCTGGCTGGCATGACCTGTAACTCATCTTACAGCAGACCTTCAGCCTCCAAGCATCGTTCAGCAACAGCACCAACATGTTTCCCTTCCCCACACAGCGCAGTATGCTACAGGCAGAGAAGGGGTAGCAGCAGGGCTCAGGCATCCCCCCAACACTGCGACCAGCCACGTAAGCCCCACGTTCCCAGTGTGCCATTCCCACCCTGGGAAAAAAGTGTTGCTAGCACTGAGAGAGGGTCCTCAGCAGCCCAGGAAAGTGTCTCGCCCAGCCTCAGCGAAGGGCCACGCTGATTAACATGCCAAGAGCAAACATGAAGCTGCCTTAAATCCCTGAGGCTGGGGGATCAGATCACCACTTCCCATGTTTATTTTAAGGAGGAAGCGCAGCTCCTGGCACCAAGGGCCTGGGGGACACTTGGGGGGGGGCTGCTGAGCCACCCCTCCTCACCCCACATGCCCCACTGGGGCATGGGGTTGTGTATTCCCACTGCAACAAGGCACACAGCCTCTGCAGCACACCTCCTGTCCTCAAGAGCACCCCAAAACCTGTTGGCTTTTGCAGGGGAAGGAGACATACTCCTGGTTATTTGGGTCGAGCCCCATGGGGACAAAGGTGGGGTTTCCCTGCCAAAAGCCAACCTCCTCCCCATGGGGAGGGATTTCTCCATGTTCCTCGGCACAAGACCCCCAACACAGCCCCCCCTGCCACCGGCACATGCTCCAAAGTGCAGAGGTGATGCTGCTCTCACCTTCCCAGGGAGTAAATCTCAGGTTAAAGGGGAAGGAACTTCACATAACCCAAGACCCTGCGGGACAGCTATGGTGTCCAAGGCTATGCACGTCTTCCTCTGTGGGACAGGGTGCAGGAAGCCCCTCCAAACTCATGTCTTTCAAAACAGCCCCAGCAGGAAGCCCCCCATTTTCCCACCCATCCCCTTGGCAGCCCCTACCCCCCTCCCAGCCACGATCAACAGCACTCCTCAAAACTCCAAGCAGGATTTCTGGCATCCCAGCACTGCTTCATGGGGCCATGGCACAGTCTAGAGCCTGAATTATTCAGTCCTGGCCAGATGTGGCCATTGCTCCCTGGCTGCCTGACAGCTGGAGCCACGTGTGCTGTCAGGGTCACCTCAGGCCTGAGCCCTCAGGCTCTTTAAGTGATTTTTCGCCCCCAACTGCCATGTCATTCCTTCTAAACAGGATATCACAGCAACCCCGACCCAAAGGATAAGCCATGAGTTAGCACAGCTTTCTCTCAGAGGAACGTCAGCCTCAGTCCTATTTTTAAACTAAATGTATCCTATCACCGTGCTGGAAGAAAGAGAATGCAGAGGGAAGGATGGAAAAGTTACATGGGGGAAAAGACTAGAAGGGGGGGTGGTGTATGTGTGCGATGGAGAGCCCAGTGCAGCATCCTCCCCCACTGCACCCCAGTGAGGTGCTGTGGTGGGAGTACAAACCTCGCACCTTCACACAGATCCCCACGGATTTGCTTCCTCATTGCAGATGAACCCCACCGGCTGGCAATTCCCAAAGCAAGGAGGGCAGATCTCACTTTACTCCCGGGTGCAGCACCCCACCTGAGCCTGCAGGACACAGCACCCCCATCCC